AAATTACTTTCTTATTTTCAATCAAGGTCATTTCTTAGTTTCTTTAACTTCAATTTGAGCAATTTGACCATTCTGTTGATCTTTTAATTTCCTGTTTTCTTCTTCTAGTTGCTTAATTTTTTCTTCTAAATTCTTTATCTTATCTAGCAATCCCTGCTTTTGCTTCTTGTTTCACTCCTCAGACTTTTCTTGAAATTTAGCAACTTCTTCTCTTTTGATATTCAATTCTTCTTTGGCAGTAGCTAATTCTTCTTGTAAAGAATTTATTTGCATCTCATAAAAAAGTGCTATTCCTCCATTTTGATGGGGTAAAAGAGGAAGTTCTTTTTCATTACTTTCTTCTTTACAATCACAAGTGTATCTTGTTTTTAACCTTCCACAACTACACTTTGGCAACTCATCATTTTCAAATTTCTCTCTGCAACTTTCACAAGCCTTATTACTTTCAATCATTTTGCCATTTGCTTTGTTTCAAGTTCTGATTTGACACATTGCTTTTTTTAAACCAAAACAAAAAACACAAGTAGAATTACTGCTATGTCATTCTTCTAACTCCAAAATGGTGTAAAGCAATTCTCTCATAATAATAAAGTAAACTAGTTAACTTTTACTTCTATTCGAGCTGTAAATTCTTGGGCCTGATGATTTTTACTTTCTACCAATTGTTGATTTTTTTGAAACTTGGTTTCAATTCTTGACCTAATTTTTGTAAAGTATTTCGTTTTTTAGGTAGGGTTTTCTTTCTAAATAAAGTTGTCTATTTAGTTCTTCCTCTCTTTCCTCACTTCTTGCTAACATTTTTGATTTCTCTTCTGATTCCTCTTGTAATTTTGTATTTTTTGCTATCTCCTCTTCAAGCATTTTATCAGACTTTTGTAGCATTAGTGATTTTTCTTTAATCTCTCCTTGCAATGCATTTCTTTGAGTGTTATTTAGTTCTTTTAAACTATCAATAAAATCAAGGTGAATTTTTACATCTCTCTTTATTTTTTTAATAACTCTAATAACAGTTTGAATTAAATTTCCCTTTTTGATATTCTCTAATAATTCTTGTGGTTGCCTTTTTCTCAATAATAAATTTCTTCATCTTCTTTCTCTTTAACTTTAGTTAAGATCTCTACAATATTCTTTTCCAAATTCTCAACTTGTTCTTTAAAAGGGGTTAGTTCAGCAGCTTTTTCTTCTAGAACATCATTCTTTTCTTCAAGTTTTTTATTTTTGTCATAAATGAACTAAAAGAATCACAATTAGTTAATGTTCACTCAGTAAAACCTTTAACAATGTTTTCAAGGGCGAATTCATTACTAAAATTAACTTTCTCAACTCCATTTTCTTTTTGAATTTTTGCTCACTCATCTCAAGCCCAAAAAT